TTTTGTCCTCATTTAAAGTTGTCAAATATAAAGGATAGGTACTGATAATATTTAAGCATCACTTCAAGGTTTCCTAAATCCAAATTTATGCATTATAAATAGGTGCAAAAATCTGACTGCTCCTTTATGTCTTTTTTATTTTTGTGTGAGGAAGATCGGCCCTGAGCTAACATCTGCCAATCCTCCTCTTTTTTTGCTGAGGAAGACCAGCCCTGGGTTAACATCCATGCCCATCTTCCTCCACTTTATATGGGATGCCGCCACAAGCGGGTGTGTCCGTGCGCGCCCGGGATCCGAACCGGCAAACCCCGGGCCACCGCAGTGGAGCACGCGCACTTAACCACTTGCGCCAGCGGGCCGGCCCCTCCTTTATGTCTTTTAAGGTCATGGTACCTGAGCATTTACGTGTTTAAATATATATTATTTCATTATAATATTTTCACTTATTTCTATTTTATATTATAATTAGGACAACATATTGATTTTTTAAATCACATGTTAGATGTAGTCACATTATAAATTTAATCTCAGGATAGTAAGCAAATATTAAAATTATTTGTCATAAAAATGGAGCATTGGAAGCAACATAGTTTATATCCTAGAAAGTATCTGCCATCGAACAATGAGGCTTTTGTCACAATTAAGGTCTAGAGTTTGGCACACTAAGAAAACAGCAGCAGTGATAACCACTGCTCCAAATTTTGTGATTTCAAGCAATCCGGAGAGTTACAAATGGGTAATCAGTGGTCAAGAGGGAGCTATTTTATTTTCTGAATGGGCACTATTTGAAAGCAGTCATCAGCCCCATATGAACGTGCTTTTGTAGTGGAGTAGGAAGTGCTGGAGAACTGCAGGATTATCTATAAGATCCAATATTACACTCCAAGTTCTTTCTTCAGCAACCACAGGCTACACAGCCACAGCTCAGATATCGGAGCCCACAGACATGGCTTTTCTGCTAATTTTATGTGAATGAGAGCAAATTAATCATTTTCTCTGAAATAACCCATTCTTGCCCAAATCATCTTATTACAGGATTTAAGAGAATAAAATATCTTGAGGGAAATATCATGACAAGTAAGTTCCTTTAATTTCAAAGTCACAATAAATTATGGATGAACATAATTCACTCTCTCCTGCCTGCTTTTTGGTCCACTTAACCTCTCTGAAACTGTTTTTACACATGGAAATGGTGGTAATTACCTCTTCCTCACAGCTTTCTTTTAGATGAGACAGCAAATGTAACTTACATATTACTGAGCCTATCATTTTATTATTACTGTGTAACCTCTCAAAGTTTTATCAAAAGACGCTTAATAAATAAGATCTGTATGGCACACTGGAACTTAGCATCTTAGTATCACATCTAAGGATTTGATGAGACAATATGAGTATAAAGCTACAACGCAGACTGACATGTAGTAAATATTAGTCTATGCTGGACAGTATTATTATTAATGTTACTGCACTAACACCACAAAGAAAGATAGATCATTGTACAAAGGCATTTTCATGAATAAAATAAAGATGTCGTATCAGAATTCAGCACTCTCTATTCATATCTTGGCATTTCTTTTACAAAAAGAAAAGTGACTATCCTGTCACCTAGAAATAGGGAATATTTTGACCCTGAAATTATAAAAATAAATGACTTAATTACCCATTAATTCAGAAATTACATTAATTATACGTTAGCCTAAGAAAATATATAATTTCCTAACTAATTATCTCTATTCAATGTCTTGTAAAACAGCCTAAACAGAGATGTGAGATTATTTATATAAAAGGAAATTAAGGTCAGCTGCATGTAATCTAGCCGGCTAACTGTGACTATATTTGCACCACATTACACAAATGTTGATGTAAATATTTCTCTTCTCTGACATTAAAGAAGGTAATTTGAGGGAGGAATATTTGAGGAATTCCCCTTTAATTTTCCAAATTAAAAGAAAAAGCTAACCGTATTGAGAAATATTAACTCCAACTTTGCTTTAGTAAGCCTAGTACTCTGAGCAACATTTAACTTTAAACTGAGGAAGGAAAGAAAAAAAGGTAATAGTCAAGTCCTTAGAGGTTGTGTAGGCAAACAGAGATGTTTAAGGAACTCCAGAAAGCTGTGATGTTATAATCTTTCTGTCACCTTGTTAGATTTTATTTATTTTTAATCATGAGCTATTTCAAACACTTTAAAAACTAAAGATAATAATGTAACCGACATACATGGATTCACCACCCGCATTTAAAAATTGTTAACATATTGAAATATTTGCTTCAGAAATATTTTTGAAGAAATAATGCTTCCTTTATATACTGCTTCTTAACTTCAACTTCCCGCTTGCTTTAAACTGGCTTGCCTCAAATTATTGGGTAAAAGGGTCTAAAAGTGTGTCTGCTTCTCTTTTGAAAGTAGATACGTTAAAAAAATATATACTGAGAGGGCAGAAATCTGGCCTTTGGAAAGATGAGGTTTTAAGAATTCAAAACTTCACAAATGAAAAACATGGCATGGCTAACAGTCAAAACCCGGTTAACTGTAAGACAAGTGACACTAATTGACTAATATTAAACCTTTCGAGGAACAAATAGAAGGTTAGATCATTAACCATTCTTACAAAGTTCTCACCCACATTTTTTTTTTCTTGGTGAAGAAGATTGGCCCTGAGCTAACATCTGTTGCCAATCTTCTGTTTTTTGCTTGAGCAAAATTAGCCCTGAGCTAACATCTGTGCCAATCTTCCTCTATTTTGTATGTGGTACACCACCACAGCAAGGCTTGATGAGCGGTGTGTAGGTCCACACCTGGGACCTAAACTCACAAACCCCGGGCTGCCAAAGCAGAGTGCATGAACTTAACCACTACACCACCGGGCCAGCCCCCTCACCCACATTCTTGATAGCTTTATAACTTTTTATCTTTACTGATGCTTATTATAATACTAGACAATAATATTAGAGATTTCTAATTATTCTTCTAAAATCTAAAATTATTCAGGCCTTTAGAAACATCCAGCAGGTTGCTACCACCTGACATACACTTATTAATAAATTAAAATGAATATTGTAAAATTTCCCATAAATAAATGGATATTTTAAAAAGTATGTATTAAGCAACGAAATTACATGTGGTAGCTACTTTCTGGAAAAAAGGAAATAATAAATCACTTTGCTTTTTGCTTTTAATTTAGTCGGTTTATGGAATCTGAATCTTCCCAGAAAGTAGATTCTCTGCTACAGGTAGTCATGTCAACTGATTCCACGGTTCCTTGGCTCCTTCCCTTTCAGCCCCAACCTTTTAGCTATTACTTCAAAAGGAAACCAGCGTGTATGCTTTCTCCTAACTGTTTATCTAGGAAGTTGTTAGCGCGGTAGGTAAATTCCTTACGGTTGGCTGCTTTTTCTTTCTATACATCAGAGTCCATTTAATGTTAGATTGTGGAGTTACAGTAATAAATGTATGCTTTTATGTATTACCTCAATTCACTGGAGAATTTCTCCAATGTATAATGCTGCAGTATTGCTCATTCAGAGCCAGGCGAACTGGTAACTGTTTTTATAGCTTTCCAGAGAGATATAAAGTATACCTATGAACAAAGTGTTAAGTAGAATGACTTAACAGCACTCCTAAATTCCTACCGGCCTTATTTAGTTTGAAACTGAGCAATAGCTTAGAATAAACTGAAAAGGCAAGATAAAGGGGAAAAGCCCTCATTTTCTCATTGTTCTTCAATGGATGAAAAATAAAAGTGTCCTGAGCAATCAATGCAGTGATTTTAAGCAGCCCTAGAATCAAAAGGATAATTGTGGATGAATTTGCCTCCTACAGGGAAAACAAAGAAAGCTTTAGCTCAAACATCTTTAGGCATCACTTTTAAGAGAGTCAGGTCATCGAAACTATTTCAGAAATTTCTTCCAATTGTTAACAATGCAACATGTTATTTCAAGCAATACTTTTACCTACTCCATGTATAAACTAGTATGTGAATTTGGTATAGTGAATCTGTGCATCATATTTATGCTCATTAATAGGCTTCAGAACACACTTTTACTGCTTCAAGTTAAATTCACAATGATTAATTTTTTACAATTTTCTGATAATTCAAATTTCATTTATCTGGTGCTAAGTCTCCAGGAAGGAATTGTAGAATTGTTCTTAAAAGAAAATTCGTCCTGGTTGAGACACGATTTCCAAAGATAAGTTTGGCAAAAAGTGGAAACCACATATAAGAGAGTGTACATATACATATAAACACATATAATTTTCTAAAGTGAGCTTTTTAAAAAAACCTTCAAATTTCAACAGATATCTATCCTGTAAGCATCAACTTCAAGTTTTCTGGCTGGATTTGCTTGCTGATTTCTCTATCGCAGACTCTTCCCTGGCTGTTCGCATGGTTGACTTTCAACATGTAGGTCTCAGCTCAAATGTCTGCTAAGTCTTCATTACTTGCATGATTATTAAGAGAAAAATGAAAAACGGGCTTCCCTAAGTCCTGATTTTAGCTATCAGCTTCTAACTCCCCAGATATGCCAAAAGCAAATGATCAGTTTTATGTAATCCTAAAGTGATAAGCAATGGCAGAGGCAAAGAAAAGCAAAAAATTGCAAAAAGTCAGAGCCGTCTAATGGAGAAGTGATTACAGTACATGTGGCAAGCTAGAAATAAGACTTTTATATCATTTTCATACTAGCTTGTCACTGTATACACATCTCCATTTTTAAAAGGAAAATACGAATTTTGAAGTTTAAAATGAATATTTGTACGTAGCCTCCTTAAACTTTGAAATGTAATGCAAATAAGACTGTACATAGTTCCTATATAAAATATTCAATTTAGTTATGTAATATAATTACTCTTCTAAAATGAAACAGCAAATATTCTTAATCTCCACACTAGTATTAAGAAAGTTATACATATAATTCACTTCGATATTATAAACATTATTGTTCAGTGATATCCAGATGCACACGTTTCTTTCCTTTCCTCCTGAAGGTCATCTCACCTTGCACTTTGGACACTTCTGGGCATTCCTCTGCCCATGTTCAATCTCGCTGGCCCAGTGACGCAACAATTTGTCTCCTTTTTTGTACTCCTTGCAGTTAACACCTTCATGCCAAGGAGAGTGGCACTTAAAACACCAGACGAATTGGCAAGTGGGGCACTGGATCTGTGTAAGGAAAAGTAATATTAAGTACTAGTAGATATACTGAAACTGTCTAAAAGGATAAGAATGGTGATGCTTGGGGAAATCAGCTAAAAGGTTATAATTTGTCCAGATTTAAAATATCTCCCCCTCTACAAGACCCTAACTACAATGAGACACGACTATTCTATCATTAAGGGAGGAAAGAATTGCCTTGGCAAAGATGATTTGGCTGTTTGTAGACTACATTGGAATTAAACACTTGGGACATTCTGGAAATCAACTTGACCTTAAGAAAATCTCCTAGATTGAAGCACAGAGTAAAACCTGAAGGCTCACGATGCCTCATTTCCACACACTCAGGCTGCTGCCCTTAAATTCGCCTTTCTCTTGAACCAATTTTCCAGGCATTTCCATTGCTCTTCTTACCAATGGTTTCATTCACTTTTATATAATCAAAGTCCCACAGATGCTTCAGCAAATGAAAAACACACTGGCAAATAAACTGCTTTACCAGTATATGCATAAAGCACCATCTAAAATAATGGGTACCTGGGTTTGCTATTAATCTAAGGGAGGTTGATTATAAAAATAATACAAAGGATCCTAATGGAAATATATCAGCATGGTGGTCCTGTGGCCTGTACCTAGGAAACTATCAGAAAGATGTCTTTGTATTTTCACTATGTGGAAGTGTATGTGTGACTGTGTGTGTGATAGTGGAGGTGTATGTGCAACTGTGTGTATATGTTCATTGAAAATATCTATCTTCCACTTGACATGGAAGACATTTTATCTGACTTCCTTTATTTTGAATGACAGTGGAGCATCCCATTCTCACACAGTATTTCCGGTCCTCACTCTCTGAAAACATGGGCGTAAACTGACGTTCCCAGCCCTGTTTGATTAAAGGGAATTAATAAAATGTCTCACTATGAACAACACTGATGACTGACTCTTCTCTGTGCTGCTGCATGTTACTTCACTGTAGCATGAGCGAATTGACTGACTACATTTTGAAGATTGGTTAGAATGTCTTTTGGTAAACTGTACACAACATTACCACTTACTTTCTTGGAAAACCACTTTTTTGACAACGGTGGTTCCAATATAGAGACTAACTGAGAGGCAATGACGATCACAGCTCTTCTGTTTATAATACAAAGCACTGTGTTTACACTTATGTCAAGAATATGTTCTTCCCATGCAAATATGAAGTAACAAAAGTAATTTTGCTTTTAACTTATATCAAAACATAATAGTATTTTGTCATAAATTTTTAAGATCTTCATGCTTATTTATTTGTTGAAATTCTGTTACATGGTAATGTTTATACTGCTGCCTTACATGCGTTATTTATGTTTATCAACAAAATAACGCTGCAAAGTAGGTATGAACATCACAAGTTTACAGATGAGGAAACTAAGCTCAGAGAGATTAAATAACTTGCCCAAAGTAACATAGCAAGTATGTGTTAAGAAGAAATTTAAACATATGTTTGTCTTGCCCCAAGGCCAGCATTCTTTTCTCTGTGCTAAACACTTCCTCACACTAAACAGCATTCTTTCTTTGACGATTAAAAACCAAAATGTAAAGCCAAAGAAGGTCATGTGGTTAAACTATTTAGTAAGTCAGGATTCTACATGATTACCAACATATGGTGAACTGTGAAAATCCTTTTCAAGATTTTACTCACATAAATTAGGAGACTCCTTGGCAAAAAAAAAAATAAAAGGAATGTTTTTATTCCATCATTTAAAGTAACTGTTTTTGCCTTTTCTGATCATTAGAGTTAAAATAAGTCATTTTTAAACCAAGAAGAATGAGTTGAAGTGGGTAAGCTCCAGATAATAAAACAATATAAAATGATCCTTCCACTATGTCATTGACTAACACAGAATAGATGTAAATATCACATGGGGCCTATATGAATATAATTTTCGAATGTGGTGAACGAAATAGGGAAGAAGTCAGAAAGACTCGTTTTTTCTCATGCATCTGCCATTATGTGAAGCACTTGAATATTTAATTCAGTTCTCTTCTATTAGACATTACTCATAATTCTAAATCACTGAACTTTAGTATTGTTAAATTTAAAAAAACCTCTGGTTTTTAATCAGTCAGTCTTAGATTATATTTATGAAATGAATAGAAGAATAAATGCAATGGTGCTTTGAAACTGGGATTCATTCTGGGGCTATCAGACATTTTAATGGTTCAAGGATCTTTGTGGTCAAGTGCTGAACTATCACATCTATGTATCTCTAACGAAGACGATTATAAATATGTGCTTATCCTAAACCAGAATCACAAAAAATCGGACACTCGGTATCCATACCACAGACTCTGGCTCCCAACTTCTCATAATAAATAACTAATAAATAAGTCCACTGCAGATCTTACTGCTAATCCTCACCAACAACACAGACTTGGTGACAAACTGTGAAAGGAGTTTACAGCAAGCTCTCAAGTGAAGATGAACACTTTAAATGCATACCAGACTGCTCACTGTCTCCCACTGAAAACATTAAAATAACTATAGCTTTGCTTTGGATTAAAATAATAAAAGGACGAATAGCCAACCCCAACAACTTTGGTATTCAGAGACTGCACCTGAATTGTCTAAATACTGACTTTTTGGTCTGAAGATGCCTTATTCATTCTGACCTTAACCATATTCAAAATTGGCCTTATATGAAACACATATAGATATCGACACTGCATCTTCCTCCACTCCTCTACTTATACTAATTCCTCCACATGAACTGCCACATCACAACCACAGACCTCTCATGTGGAGTAATTATATTCACACAGAGGTCATCATGCTCTATCCCTGCTACTCAAAGTGTGGTCGGAGAAGCAGCAACATCAGCATCACCTGGGAGCTTGTTGGAAATAAAGAGTTCATGTCACACCCCAGACCTACAGAATCAGAGCCTGCGTTTTCACAAGGTCACCAGGTGATTCACATGCTAAAGTTTGAGAAGCACCGCTGTATACCATGTGACCCCATCTCTCTGGCCAGGTTGCACCAGAGATGAGTCCCTAAGTCAAAAATATGTACCCACTGGCTGGCAAGCAGCCTGCAAGGTGGCTGGCATGAGCTTTGTGCAGCAGGGTGCTCATTGTTGAACAGAGATTAACTGAGACAGATTTTCTCTTTTGAGGAGTGTAATGGGGATACACATACACTCTACCTTTGCTGTGCAGGCAAAGAGAAAAAAGCTGAGTGACCATAGTACAGACCACTGGAGAAGGGAACAACATTCTCATCCAGTGAGACAATGTAGGGGCTCTCATGAGCCCGGAGCTCGTGTCTGATTCTCCGTGAGGCCTGCCTGGGTGGCTGCTGAGGCTGCTTTCTTGCCCTTCCAACTTCCTGTGGAGTCTCCCAGTAAACCAACCCCTGAGTTAGCCTGAGAAAGAGCACATCTCTGCTTCTTGTAATTGGAGAAAGTCCAATTAACACAATCTGTCTACTGAAATCTTATCCAGATCAAATGCTACTTGCTTCAACAAGTCTCCCCTACTCCTCTCAACCAGATTCAGTATCTTTCTTCCAGAACTTACATTAGACACGCAGATGTCTAACCTCCCTACCAGCCTACGAGATCACTGAGGGCAAAGGCTGGGTCTCATCCATCCTGCATTTCCTGAGTTAAGTAATGCAGAACTTCTGGCACATGGTAGGCACTCAGTAAGTTATTTGTAAAATGAATTATTTTGCACACAGCAAGTACTACATATTGGCTAACGTTAAACAACTTCAAAGAAAAACCAACATATCTAATTTACGACCAGTGGCTGAGATGGTATCACTGCTTCTTAGATTACCAGATGATGTTTCCTAAATATTTTATCCACAAGACATTTTACTGAGCATCATGATTAATATGCAAACTCTTCTACAAGAGCAGGGCTGTATGTGTTTCAAAAATAAAGTTATCAGAGTTAGGAATCTTGGTTAACTTGCCCCAGAATCTATGAAAAATAAAAGAATTTGATATTACATTTTTGACTTTTGAATTCCATTAGTTTTTCCAGAAATCTGCACCACAATGCCACTCAGATGATAAACTAAACCAACCCACTTGACCTAAGCAAATGGTATTTTCCCTTGACAGTTCATCATGCCAAAGAAATAACCCACAAAATGAAAACAGAGGTCAAAACCAAAGAGCACCCCAGATAAGTCTTTTCTTGCCTAAATGCTATACACTCTTATATACATAATTATTTTAAATACATCACAAAATCATTACTTAAACTCAAAATATTAGACGACACCCATGTGTAAACGTAGCATTGTAAATATAAGAGCTTAACTTAGTTTTCCAAGAAGAATTTGCTCTATTAGAGCTTCAGGTTAAGACAGATAATCAATAACAAAATCTATTCATCAATTCATTTGCCCAGATATAAACCCAGAGAGCTACAAAACCATGAAATAACTGCTAGAGTAGGAGCTTGGACAAGTGGGTGTCATGGGAATGGCGCTTCAGGGAAGGCTGGGACAGTAGTGTTGAGAGAGAAAGTGGCCTGAAAGATGACTGGAATGTCACCGGTACTAGTGATGGGGTAACACTTCAGGCAGAGGGCCCAGCCTGAGCCGCCACACAGAGGCCTGAGAGCACATGGTGCACTGGGGAAACAGCCAGTTTTCTAGTGTAGCCTGAACAGAAATGGCACTTCAGCTGGCTCAACCCTGAGCCTTGCTGAAATGTCCCCGAAAGAGGATCCAATTAGCCTTGCATTAATGTTCCTATACTCCTGAAGTGTCTCTCAAAATACACTGTGGTCCAGAAACTCCTTATATGAAACGTGTGAAACTGACAGCTGTCAGACTAGGGTGTGTCCTAAAGAAACAGATCAATATGTAAATAATAGGGAAATCTTCTAGCTATAAAAAGTTTTCTAAGAACTTAAGATAGTTTTCTTGAAGAGAAGATTGTAAAGAATTGCAGGGTGACACAGAGACAAAAGGAGTCTTTGAGGCATGGCTTCAAATACTTTCAAGGAAG